ACATATAGTTTGAAAACCTTCAACAATCTTGTACAAAGATGTTTTAGTTCTAATGTTGTCAACTTAGGAATAAGAGAAGCATTGATATAGTTAATCTTATTGATGCTTTAGTCTTTTTAATGGTTAAATGGATCCTTAAAAAATACAAATTTAGTACATTTAATCTTCATGCTCTTCTCAAATTTAGACTTAATTTAGACTCAAATTTAGATTCAAATTTGAGAAGAGATTTTTAGTTTTGAATACTTTATACTTCTTCATTTCTAAGTTAAAAAGGGATTCAAAGCTTAGACATGGGCTCAATCTTCATAGAGATTTTTTTATTAAAGATGTACAATATGTTAGTTCTAAAGTTTTTGAAGAGGTTCTTAGTGAATTCTTGTAGTGGTCACCAACCTTCTCTCTCATTGGTTATAGATTTTTGAAGCTTAGAGCATTATAACTCCATAAAGTAGAAATTAATTTGTACAAGTGATATAAGGATTGACTCCAAATTTCTCTTCAGACAAAAAGTTGCTTCATCCTTAAAATTCAAAGTAGAAGAAATCAGAGTTTGAGTTGCTACTATGCTCTGGTTGATAAGTCACTGACACTTAGTCCTTTTATAAGAATCTATCTTAATATGTAGGAATAAATAGATGGAAGACTTTTTATTAAAAGATACCTTTCTTTTGGTAGTATTCTAGCAGATTCAAGAAAGATAATTATTGGCTTATGGAACTCCACTATACATTTCCTTCATTTTTTCAGCCACACCCTGATTCTCTATTCTCCTTATTTCACAATGGCTGTAATAAGAATCTACAGGCTTTAGCCACTTGGTGTGAGGTTTTTACAATTAGGTTCAAATGATATAAACTTAAAAGAGACAAAAATAAAATCATGTTTTTATATTTTATTGCAAAGTTGCACAACTATGTTGGGATTCTAAAAAAATTCAATGGCTATCTCCAAATGGCTCTATCTTCTTTATATAATACACTACAAAACTGAGCCAAGTATTACTTTGAAATAAACACATTATTTCTTATCCAATTGTGAAAAAATGGCTTGGCATCTTCTTGTCCTTATATCATCTAATATAAAAAAGAATCTAGATGAAATAATATACTAGCAAAGAATTAAAATTACTTTGATTACTTTGGCACCAAGCTATAGCAATAAATGTGTAAAATGGGTGTATTGACTACTTGTTGCCTAATTTGTTTATTATAAGTAGAAGAATCTGCCTTCCATCAATTTTAAAAATACATTTTTGTCCAAGAAGCTTGGTAATAGAATGTACATATCATTAACTTGTTGGTTTGTAATAGAAGAGCACTATCGTGTTGTAACTCGGCTATATGATGAAAATATATATAAAAAAAAAAAATTAATTAATATTCAACCATCTCGATTCAATAAGAACTTAAGACAATTATGAAAGGCTTTATGAAAGTCTCTTATATTATTTACTTATCATAATAGCTAGTAGATAAAAGCTAGCTATCAAATTTTCCTTTTAGGTTGTAGAAACTCTTTTACTATCTTAAAAAGGCCATAAATTAGTAATAATAAAGTTGATGAGATAAATAATTGATATGATTGATATTATGATAAAGATAAAGATAGGGTCGTGCTTAAAAATTCCTATGATAGGTTGGATTGATACCTCAAAAGGACCAATTACTAATTAGGATAGAAATCAGACCCTAAGGCACAAAACCATATATCTACAACAATTCTGAAATTCTTTAGAAAATTAAAGAGTGGGATTTGAGAGAAGTCTTCATAAGATTTCTTAAAGCTTTGATTTCAAGTGATTTAAGTTTTTAATTACTTTATACAAACTTTGCAAAGTCAAGGTTGTTTTGGGTGACTCTAGATTTTGTGAAATAAAATAAGGTTTACAATTTGGATAATTTTGTAAGTTTTATAGCAGATCTATAAGTGAAATTTTGTAGAGTTGTGAGTATAGTTGTATCAAATATATGTTGTAAATTTGAGCTTAATTAGATGGTTGGATTGGAGGTTATTGAAGTTTAAGTGGATTAGGGTCTTAGAAATTGGATTTTTAGGTATAATAAGGTTATCTAAGATTTTCAACAATTTTCCAATTTGATTGAAGTGATTTTTGTTGAAACTAATAGTTGACTTGACTTTCAATACTTATGCAAAATTTAAGAATAAGTTAAGAGTTTAATTAAAAATTATTATTGTTGGAAGATCAATATTAAGGTGAATAATAGAGGTTAGTTGACACCTAAGTAGATTATGACGTTTCTCTTCCATTTTGTAAGTTGAATTCTCTTCAAATTTATTGTGCTTATTGTTAAATAAGAGGTTGAGAGGTTCATAAATTTTTAAGTAAAATAAATGGTTTAGTCAATAGATATTGAGGTTCTAAACTATATTAGGATTGATTTGAATTAACTAGGATTTGATTTAGGATTTAGGAATTGATTAGGGTTTGGTTTAGGATTTAAGATTTGATTAGGATTTGGTTTAGGATTTAGAATTTCTTAAAGTTTTTTTAAGATTCTTCTAGATTTCTTTTTTATTTCTTTTTTATTTCTTTTAAATTTTTTTAAGAATTATTTTTTTATTTCTTTTATATTTCTTTTGGTTTCTTTAAGATTTTTTTTATTATTTCTTTTTAATTTCTTTAAAAGCTCGTTAGGATTTCTTTGTATTTTTTTTATAATTTATTTGAAAATTTAATTAGGCTTGATCAATATTTGATTATGTTTATTAAGCTTTAATTATAATTTATATATGATTCTATTAGAGTTGTTAGGACTTATTATTACAAATTTACTTTACCTTCCATACCCAATTGCTTGATGCATTCTCAAGCAAGACTTCATAAAATACAACAATGCAAGGCCTTTGGCAACTTCTTTCTTAGGATCAAGAGCTTTTTTCAGATAGGATCCTCTAAAAATTTATTCAATTCATCTTTATATGGTTATAGCTTAGAACCATTACAATGTAGACATTATAGAAAGAACGGAATGACCTTATTTTTAATGATGTTAGGGGGCACTAAACTAAACTACTTTAGATGGTATGGCTTAGAATCCTTAACTATAGTTGGATTAAGTGGTCAATAATATGTAAACACTATAAATTTAAACTATCTAGCAATATAAAACTTGTACTTTGATTTGAAAAGCAATGGTGCTGTCATGGAATTTTTGCTTCTATAGTAAAAGGTCATCTATGGTAGGCATTATCCAATGTAATAGTAGAATTTGTTTTCCAACCTTTATAGCTAAGAAATAAGGATGGGCAATAGATCCATGATCCAAATAGGGAGGCGTCTTTGGCCACCTGAAGGCATAGATGGTTGCATATATGATATTAAGTCATTAGTTCTAAGATCTATTAAGTGAGTCCCCTACCCTAGACTCATACAACTAGGTCAGTTGTAATCTTTTGGTGTTCTACGACAATAAAAGATTTTTCTTTATTTATTTTAAAAAATTAAAAAATATGTTAATTATTGGTTTTTTATAATATAATTAATGAGATGATTATAAATTGAGTGATATGTGGATTATTTCAATAATTTCCAACTTTGAATTATATATTCAAAGAATTTATTATAAAAAAAATAAAGTGTAATATAGATTTGCTACTAGTTCTATTTATAATATTTCTTATTTTATTTTATTTTTTTATAAAGACTCATATATATATATATATATATATATATATATAATTCCAATATTTTTTGTAAACAAACTTATCTTATAAGAATCAATTTTAGCTTCTATTTAGAACTTCCTAAATTTTGGTAGAATATTGGTAAAAATTATTATAGTTCCAACAATTTTTTTTAAAAGAAATATTCATATTAAGAATAATGGGCATTGTAAATAAATGTAATAACAACAAAGGTGGATATTTGATGTTTACTATCAAATTATATAAAGTTGAAATGATTCAAAATTTAAGTATATATATCTTAATTTTCTATAGAAATCCTTCACTTGGAAACAAGGCATTTTTGCTGAAATTATTCTATTTAGATTTAATCATTTTTACAAGATTTGATCTTTTTTAAGAATACTTTTTTATAGACCATCTATATTTAACATAAATTATATTTAAGAATAAAATAAATTCCTTATTAGAAGCATGATTTAAAAAGGATTTATGAAATGTGGACAAATTAGTTGAAAATTTGTCACAAAGAAAATGACTAAATACTCAAAACATGAATCTACCATTCTCAAGAAATGGGATAAATCACAGATAGTAAGTTACATATTGGATTAGACAAGATAATTAAATAAGACTCTAAAATACCTCAAGGTGGTGTGACCTTACACAAGAGTGTAAATGAATTAGCTATCATAGCTGCTACTTTATCTTTGCATTCTTATCTATACCTCTGTAAGGGATTAAGTAGTTTGGTGTACTTTTTTTCCATTGCATGAATGCATTGGATATACCCTGTCTTTGTGTCAAAAAAGAGAAAAACAAACAAACAAAAAAAATTACCCAATTCTAAAATGCCAAGAAATATAAACTTTGTGAAATTAAATAAATTATAAATTCAAAATGACAATTCATTTCTAAAAAGTAATATAAAATCTATCATTACAACTAAAATACATGCAAGATTTGTAAATCAAAGTAGCTAGATGATATCACCTGTCACTAAAATAAATAAATAAATAAAAATTAATGCAGTTCCATGTCCAATTGATTACACAATCAATGTTCAATTTAGATCCTGTACCAAACTGACCACCATTCGCATCAAATATGCATTAGAAAGCCCACTGAGGCACTAGATGGATGAAAGACCATCCATGCGTAAGATGAATGAAACATAAGATGAACGTAGAGATGAAAAAACATTAAAGAAACGAAATTGATGAATAAACCGGGGATGAAGAGTGGGGACAAGTGGCCACGAGAGGAGGGGGAGTCTAGTGGGAAAGGGGGGGGGGAGTTGGAAATGGAAAAGGAAGGCTCACCCCTAAACCCTCAACCCTAAATCGGTTTGCACGACGAAGAGCTCCTCACACAACCGAAGAAGCGTTGGCTTCCAACCCCCCCCCCCCCTCGCCCATCGCTGTATTGCTATCCCACTTTGTACTCCGCCGAGTTTCGGACTCGCCCACTCGGATCTTCCTTGAATGCAGCACCCAGCTCGGCCTTCGATTTCCCTCGCGGTTTTGGGCGAAGAAGAGTCGGAGGTTTCTCACTACTGCGACCAATTCTCTCGGTTTCGTTTGCGGTTGGGTTTTTTTTTTTTTTTTTTTTTTTTTTTTTTGAATCGTGGCGATTCGTTGCCGTGGAGAAAGTCTGGAGGTGGCGCGCCGAGGTTTAGCTGGTATGGCCCATCAGCTGTCGCGTGTGGCGGCGAGGAAGCTTTACTCGCTTGGCGCTGGAGGTACATTTTGGTGCTCTCGTCATTTCTGTGTTGCAATAGCTGCTTGTATACCTTCGTAAGCTGTACTTCTCTGTATTTGACATGGTTTTGCAGCAAGTAATGCGTTTTTTCCCATTGTTTTAATCAAGGATTTGTCTTGGTTGGAATCCGTGGTCGTATGGGTGGTATTATCGTTTCTGTCGCTGTATCCGTTCTGGATGACATCCAGAGTGTATACTTTTTCATGGTAGTATGTTGCGCGTCAGCGGGAGGTGTAATGCTTGACAGAATGTAAGGATCTCGTTAATTTGAATTCAATGTTTATTTGTAGTTTTAGGAAAATCTTCTTATTGTCATGCCTTGGTAAATTTAGAGTCTCTGTATATGGTGACAGTATTGTGTTCTAATTCGCTTTCGTGTCTCTATTAGAGTGTTTCATTTTCGAGCACCCCCATTTGATTTCTGTCCTTTCATAAGTCCCATGGTGCATAGATTATTAGACGAATCTGCCTTTCATACAGGTAGATTTGACGAGACGGGTATTGCATGGGAATAGGCCGTCTCTAATTCAGCTGCTTGGAAGCTCAATTTTCAAGCGACATTTGAAGCAGTTAATTTCAAGATGTATCTCATTCCACTGTTCTGGGTTCTCTATTATGCAGGAAACTTACGAACGTTAGGATCTGGCTATGCTAAGGCCAATTGGTTTAGCACGCAAGAATTTAACGATGCTTCTCGAGATACTGTATCAGATTCAAATATACAAGTTCCAGAGTTTAACCGGGGTCAGTTCGATGCTTCTCCTGATTCTTTTTCATTCAATTCCGTCGCTTCTTCGGAACCTCTAATCAGTGGAGAGCAATCTGACCAGCCTGCGTTTAAGCCTTCAGACAACTATTCATCTGGCCGCGCCTACCAACCTCGTGGTGTCTACAAGGTGTAAACATCCCTTTACCTTAGAAGTTCGTAAGTTACTTTGTTCTGCTTATGGGTTGGTTTATAACAATGTGCAGGTTAATAGTTCAGAAAGAATAGAGCTGAATAGGATTAGTATGCTTCTTAGTAGAAGAGTCTTCAAATTTACAACGTCGCATAACCTCAGGACTGCACTGTCAGTTATTGTGTAACTAACTAGTGTGTCCTGTCATTAACACAGGCTATACTTTTGGGAGAAGTCGGCCAAGCTCCCGCACAAAAAATCCTGAAGAGTGGGCGAGCAGTCACTGTATTCTCTGTGGGCACTGGAGGAATGCACCTCAATCGTAGGATGTTTGATGGGGAAACTCCTGAAGAGTTTGCAGAACGGAGCAACATGCAGTGGCATAGAGTAGCTGTATATCAAGAAAAGGTTGGCAACCTCATCTTGCGCTCTATGAAGCAGGGGTATGCTGCCGCTAACCATGACTTACGGTGTGATTACTGCATAGATGCTGAGATGTACTGTTTTATGCACTCCAAAGATGCACATCCAGGTCCTAGCCCAGTATGTGGTTGTTGTTAGTCTGTGATATGTAGTCACTTACGATGAGTCGTTGATCTTACCAGGGCACAGGTTTATGTGGAAGGCAATATGGAAACAAGAGTTTATACCGACCCTGTTACACAACAAGTGAAGCGAATCCGAGAAATTGCAGTACGCCAGAATGGTAGAGTCTTACTGTCATCTGTTTTCCAGCTTTTTCAATTGATTAACTAGTGGTAGCACTTAATATGATAAAAGCAACTACATATATCACATAAACTGCTGGAAGTCAAGCGTCATATGTGAGTTGAATTTATTCAAAGTTTTGTGTTCCTACTGACAGTCTGATTTTTGCATTGGTTATTGTAATTTAGGACGACTTTTATTTATGGATACAGCGTCAACAGACAAGGATTTACAGTTCAGCGAAAATCCGTTGGATTCAGTAGATCCAATTACTAATCATCCAGGGTCGTCAGAGCAGTCCCTAGGTGTATAAGTTGCTTTCTATTGCACCATTTTCTACAGCTGAGTTTTGCGGAAGTATCACCTTAAGATTTTTGAAGGAAGACTTTGATTCTTACCCTTTTCTACATAAACCATCTGGTTTGCATCTGGTGCCTTAAACAGCTATCACTGGAGGACGGATCTGGTAACTGATTATTGTCTATCAGCATTTGGATTGCACGTTAGATCGACACAGTGGCATTTACTACATTGCCCAAACAGGATATTTACACAGAATTCTTTATGATTCTCTTTAACAGTTTTATTCAGTGTAGACCATATTCTAAAGGAGTCAGTGGAAGATGAATCTTGCAAGTAGTGCTGGATTAGCGTCTTTCCTTCTGTACTTCTCAGTCAGTTCTGCAGATGGCTTGCTTGATGCATTCCTTTACTTGATACGCTCACACAGTATGGTTTTAATGAGTTCTGTGTGATACTGCAATTCTATTTGTCCAAATTCAGTTGTAAGATGGTAGTAATGAAAGCCAAGTTTTTCAGGCTTAGATCACTTGCTAGGGACATTAGTGGCAATAATGCATCTAATTATGACTTCTATGGTGTGTTAAAGATTATAGCTCTAATAATTTCTTTGTTATATAGTATTATATTTTTTATGAAGATTATGTATTAAAGATTTATTTTTTTATATTTTAATTTTTTATATTAATAATTGGTTTCTCCTTTTAAACTTATTTGATCAAACTACCATTTGATTCAAATGAGTGAACTAAATCCAAACAAGTATTTTCACATAATCTTAGTGTTGGACCTTTTGGTGGGTTCATATTTTTAAATATTTTGTATTGAAGATTGTTACATTATATTCTTCTTGAGCAACATTTATACATGAATTTCAATTTCATGCATGTAGTGACTCTTGTTTTTATTTGATGCTTATTATCTTTGTCCATGCTATAGTGACTACTTAAACTATTTTAGATAATGTAGTAACTCATTGTCAACTAGACTAGACTAAACTACACTAAACTAAACTATAATTGCTTTTGTAACATCCAATAGTCTCCCTCAACCCTAGTTTTCCTTCTTTTTAAAATGTTGCTTGTTTCTCTAAATACTTTGGCTCATCGTCAATCATTGTCATTAGTAAGTTCTCTAGCCTCTCTTTGTATATTTGCTATTCCTTTACAATCCTCTATGTTGTTTTGTAGGTTCAACTTTGTTTTTTCATCAATTGGTTGGATTTTATGTTGGCGTCAAGATTTTTTCATTTCATTGCAGTTTTTCTATCACATTATATTGTCAATATTTGGTAAACCACAACATGTATTCTCTAGTTTTGCTTGTAGTATGTCCACTTCAACCAAATTTTATGCTGTAAGACAAGGTCAATATTCAAGTATATGCAAATCCTAGTTAGAATGCCAAGCTAAAGTATTTCATTTTCCTTAAGTTGAATTCAAAGGTTTCAAATCCTTACCAAAAGTGCAATATTATCTTGATTCTTTTTATTTGTAGGGAATATGAAGTAGTCCTCCGATTTCTTTATTTCATTGATGAATAAAACCACTACATGATTTTGTTAAGATATCAACTTGTTGATATTTAGTTGGAATAAATTCAACTTTAATATTTTGCTTGTGTATCTTCTCTCTCATGTAATAATGTTACAATTCTATATGTTTTGTTTTTGAGTGCATTACAAGATTGTTAGCCAGCTTTATACAATTCATGTTATCACTGAAAATTTTTATTGATTTACCTTCTTAAATTTGTAATCCTATGAATAGTCCTCAAAGATAGCATATTTCTCTCGCAGCCTTAGATAAAGCTCTATGCTCTGCTTTGGTTGTTGACACTGCAACAGTTTCTTGTAGATTACTACTCCAATGAATAAGTGATGATCCAAGTTTATATAACAACCCTATTACTAATTTTCTAAAATGTGTCTCTCAAGCAATATCTGCATCCAACATAAGTTTGTAATTCTCCTTCATCATCATCTTGAAACAAAATTCCATGATCCATTGTTTCTTTAAGATATTTTAAAATATATTTAGCTACCATAAGATGTACTTCTTGCGGTTGATTCATGTATCTCAAGCAATAGTATACTGCAAACACTATATCATATTTGGTTATCTGTAGATGAATTAAACTCCCAATCAAGGATTGATAGTAAGTAACATCACATAGTAGAGACTTTATATCTTTTTAAAGATTTGTTTTTGTATTTTTGGTACAAATACAAATTTTGAATTTTCTATTCTATAATTTTTCAATAATTTTTCAATATATTTTGTCTGATGCATCTAGTTTCTTTATTTAGTAAATAAAATTTTTTCTCCTAAATAAGTGCGTACATTGCCCAAATCTTCCATTTCATATTCATTTTGTAAATATTTTTGAATTCTATCAATATTTGTATAATCATCTCTTGTTAATAGGAAGTCATCAATATATAAAAGTAATATGGTATATTTTCTGTTTTAAATGGAATAATATAAATTATGATCTTCATTGTTCTTATTGAGATTTTATTCTTTCAAATAAATGTCTATTCTTGAATATCAAGCTCTTAGAGCTTTTTAAGTCTATATCAAGCTTTCTTCATTTTGTGCACTTTTCTTTTGTTCTCTCATTTCTCCAGCCATTAGAAACTTTCATAAATATTTCTTCTTCAAGAATGCCATTTAAGAATGCAATTTTGACATCTAAATGTCTAATTTTCTATTTTCTTCCAGTAGCAAGTGCTACAATTCATCTTATAGTTGCCCATTTTACCATGGGAGCAAATATCTCAAAATAATCAATTCTCAATTTATGAAAATCTCTTCTTACTCCTAGTCTTCCCTTGTATTTTTTAACATTTCCAATATTGTTTGTTTTAGCTTTAACTACACATTTCAAATCATTTGGTTTGATTCCATTTGGTTGATCAATTAAATTCCAAATATAGTTTTTCTTAACAACCCTTATTTCTTGGTAAATTTATTGCTTCATAAAAAAATTGGTTTCCATATTTCATATTTTTCTACTGTCCAAATATAATCTTGTAATCTCCTATTTGGTTTATTAATTTTTTAAAAATTTTTGCAAATTTATTTTACCAATATCTTAACTAGATTTTTTTTTTTTTTTTTTTTTTTTTTTGTATAATATTTTTCAAAATTTTACCTTTTGCAATCAATGATGTATCGTCTTCGCGATCAACTTTGTTGTAATTATTTCTTCTCGTCGAAGTTCAAAACATTTGTTTTGTTCTGTGGCTTTGATATTGTTTTCATTTTGTTCTAAAGCAAACTTTTGCTCTTCTTGCTGAGCTACTCAATTGATATGATTATTGTATTCTTGTTCAATAGTTTGCTCAACAGTTTGATCAACTTTGTAATAATATAATTCTTGATTTTGAATGTTTTTTTGTTAAAATTCCAATTGGTTATGTACTGTTATTAATCACGTTATCTATTTTTACAAATTCAAATCCAAATTTGGATGTATATATATATATACCAAACTTCCTATAATTCTTAAATGATGAACTTCTGGTTTCTTTTTTGTCCATCTTTCTTCTAAAGTTTCTCCTCTATTAGCCCTTGTAGGTCCTTTGTTTATAAGACAATTTGCAATATCTACTATTTTTGACCAAAAATATATAGTTGATTTTGCTTCATATTGTAAACTTCTTACCTTTTCAATAATTGCTCAGTTTCTTCTTTTTGCTACACCATTCTGAGGAAGAGTTTCAGCTTACATCAATTGTCTTTTAATTCTATTTTATTTTCAATAATTTGTGAATATTCCAGATAAAAGTTCTCTCCCTCCATCAGTCCTTAATATCTCTATTTTGTTCTTAGTTTCGGCCTTTATCATTGCCTTAAATTTCTTGAATTTCTGAAGAATTTTACTCTTTGTTTAAAAAACATTTACCTAACTTATACAACTTCTATCATCCATAAATATAGCAATAAATCAAAATTCATGCAGTCTATTTTTTGAATCTTTGGCTAATTGCAATTATTTTCAAGTTTTTTGCATTGTCTAGAATATACACATGAGGTTTTGTAGATAGAATAGCTCTTCCATCATATACAAGATATCCCACCAACAACATATTCCTGGTGATAGTTGGAGAGTACAGAACATTAGTGATCTTTATTTTACCATAGACGATTTTTAACTCAACATGACATTTTTCTTCCATTCCATATGATTCATCATTTAAGGTAGTGAGGCTTTTATTGGCCATTTTTGTCATGTTTGTAATTAAATTTTTTTCTCATGTCACATGAATACTACATCTGCTATCCATATACTACTATTTTGAATTCTAGGATTTGGCTAGAGATGCTCATCTAATTCATATGACTTCTCAACTTCTAAATTTACCACCATATTAACATCATTCTTTGTGGTTCTTTGTCTTTTTTGATGATAACACTCTTTTGCAATATAACTAGGCTTATGACATGTAAAATAATACCATAGTCATTCTTTTGCGGTTAAACATTCTCTCCTTCTTTCTCTGCTACTATGTCCATTTTGTACCAATTTTCCTTGACTTTGTCCAAGTCTATGATTCAAACATGTGATATAATTTATTTCTTTAACCTCCTCCAAGTGTTGAGCTCTTATATTCAGTTGCTTTGCCATGTTTAGTACTCATGTAACATACTTATTGAAACTCTTATTATATCATTATATCATAACTCGTAGGTAAGACATTTAAGAACAAATTTAAAGTCAGTTTTTTTTGGAAGTAGTTCGCCCAATTTTGTTAGATTATTCTTATATTCCTCTGCTAGTCTCACATGCTCTTTGACATCTCCTTTATCCTGCAAACATAATGAGAAAAATTGAAAGTTTATCAGTATAATCTATCATTGATCTCCACTTTGATAAATTTCCTTGAGAATATTCTATGCATCAACATGATCTAATTTTTCTATCAGCATATCCATGAATTCATTACAAATAGACATCAATATTTCTAAATGTGCTCTGTTCTTTTCCTACTAAAAAGTTGTTGTACTATAGAGTTTGTCTCCAATCAATGAAGGAAAAGTTGCTAGTTTTCTTTTCACTTCCATAATTGCCCATAAATTCTCTCTGATAAGTATTGATTTCATTCTAGACTGTCATACATTATAGTTTGTCACCAACTAATTTGTTGGTTTCACCCACAAAGGAATGCCATCTTAGTTAAGTCTCTCTCATTTCTGAAGTCTTTGCAAGACTTTCTATATAACTCTATCATCAATTGTACAACTAATAGTTTCTACTTCTTGAATAAAGATTATAGAAGCATTCTTTCGTAGTAATAAGATAACTCTTCTACATACTCTCAAAAACCTAGTTACTTTCAATGATCAACGGACTTTCTCCAGCCATGCTCTAATACCATGTTAAATGTTTTCTATTGAAGATCGTCACATTACATTCTTCCTAAGCTATATTTGCACATAAATTTTAATTTCATGCATGCAATAACTTCTATTTTTATTTAATATTTATTGTCTTTGTCCACACTACAACAACTACCTTTTTCTATTTTAAATGGCGTAGGAACTCATTGTCGACTAGACTAAACTACACTAAACTAGGATTGCTTCTATAACATCCAACACATACAACAACATCGACATAGATCAGAGTTCCGGGGGACCAGACTCCAAATAATAATAATAATAATTTTAATAGTAGAGAGCCCCACATCAAAGATGTGAATGTCCTGCAGCGATGCAGCTTCGCTGATACGGAAAGCTCAGTAATGTGGTGAGAGACTAGCAACAAGCACAGTACCACTCCGCATGCAACGAAATCATTCCCAAGGGACGAGCAGTGAATTGCCGATGTAACAGCATCTCACTTCAACGAAGCCAAATCCACGTCACATTTCTGCTCACTTCAACTGCATCATCATCTACTTTACGTCCACACCACACACACACACACACACACATATATATATATATATATATAACTTCAAACCGCGAGTACTATCCGTCTATCTAGCTATGTACATATATGTATATATATATATATAGAGTTAAATAGACGGATGTGCTCCACCAAGTGTCTCAAAGTGTGAAATGTGGGTACAAAGCATACGATAAGAGCTGCAGTTCCGACGTTGCAGCTTCATGTGTCGATAAAACGAAGCCCCATGATACATTTGCTGAGAGCTCGTACTGACGCCGAACTGGACCCTACCTGGTATAAATCCCACCGTTGTGGGCGGACAGTCTCATCACATCTGCCGTGAGTGAGTGAGTTGCATTCGTCTGGTCGAAGTTGTGGGCTTGTGACTGCAAGTCTCAGTGTGAGCCGTTTGGGACCAAACTAGAGACATGGGGATCACCACCGGGAAGGGTGTGATGGTGTCGAGCTTGTGTTTGATCGTGGTGCTTGCTCTCGTTGCGAATGTGAATGCGCAGTGTAGCCTGAGCCAGCTGAGCCAGTGCATCAGTGCTGTCACCCAGGGTACCAACCCCCCGCCCCTTTGCTGCAACGAGGTGGCTTCGGCCGACTTCGGCTGTTTCTGCAACTTGGTGTCGAGGGGGAACTATCCTCCAGCGTACGTCAGCAATGCGGTCCTAGTGCCGCAGAAGTGCGGGGGAGAGGCCTACTCGAAATTAAAAGGCAAGACCTGTGCTGGTAAGTCGTATCATACTGGTTCGTAACTCACCCAGCCTTTTCCACAGCTGCAGAAATGTCCTGGAATTGCTTTCAAGAAAAAACTTTCATCCACAACACGATGAGTCCGAAACCATCTTCTTCAAAGTTGCCCATTCAATCTCCCTCCGTCACTGCTTGTAACTGTTAGTACTGCAAATGGTCGTCATGACACTATTGTCAGCACTTCTGTGTCTGATGACGCTTACTCGACTGCAATTATTTTGTTTTCTTCCACTAGCTACATTGCTTGTTCAGTTTTTACTCTAATTTGAATTCAATTTCATGTCAATTTTTCTCGTGAATATCATGCTTAGGGATTTTGGTATTACACCAACTATTCATACATGTGCCTGAAGTGTAATGTATATCATTTGATTCATCTCTGCATTGGTGTTTCGAGTGAGTTGATGATGGTGCATTGCGATGGCGGCTCGCAGGTCAATACATTCCTTGAAGATGGAATCGTCAATACCTCGGCGACGAGCAGTGTGGGAGTGGTTGCATTGTATCATGTACAACTTCACACACTATAGTTAGAAGTTTGCTGAGATTAATGGTATTTACGTCAGTACTTGAAGATGGATTTCTAGATTAGTGCTCACGGTTATTGTATGCCCAGTAATTCGTAATTTGTTATTATAGTGGTCAGTTGCAGGTGCTCACACTGAAGACTAAATGAGGGTTGAAAATCTTGTGATTTTACGCAACTTGACTTGTGCCACTCAATGGCTCTTCACGAGGGTTTGAAATGTCAGTAAAACAGCAATAGGTTCATGGATCATTCATTGTTTAAGGACTTTGAATTTGCGATTTCCCATGAATATAGCATTTAATGAAATGCTTACCTTGGGTGTACCTTGCTCTGATAGCCACAATCTGCTGCCTCAATGAGACAATAATCATATTAACCACTACACAAATCCATGAAATTGCTGAAGACCAAGGCAAATGAAGAGAATGGAATCGTAACATTGCTCACGCGGCAACATGTGCACTCAAACGTACTGACCGCACAAACCTTTCTGAAACGTGGCAGCTATCGTGACATAATAGCATTCGAGGCGATCAACTGGCTAAATGAAGCTCTCCGTAACGGAAGGAATACACGCCTAGCAGTAGCTTATAGTTATCTAGACCAAGTATTTTAATTTCCACAGGAGGATTGCCATCACTTAAGTTGAGATCCACCAAAGCCATACTCACACTGTTGAAGTATTGATCCCAAAATAATCTTCTCTAGAACTCAGCGGACACAGAATCTGACCATCCATCACGTCGCTGCTTACTGTCAGAATTAGATCCAGACTGGGAAGAGAACTAATGAGACCCACTGTCATCGAAACTGTCCATCGTTTTAACCATTGTCGCTGCTACTTTTCTTTGAAAGTTGGCAGAATCAGTAACTAAAGTAGATGCTGCAATCCAACTTCTGGATATTCTCTCACTTAAGTCCATCACAAGCTGGCATGAAATCTCCAGTTTCACGATATTAGTGCTGCGATTGTTGTCTATGCGTGTAGACAAAAGAAATAGTTTTCCAACAAATTTTATCCAAACTTTTTAGCAGGATCAATAGGATTGTGTGAACCGCAAGGTAGCTGGTTGAATCTGAGGACTTGTCCACCAAAGCTTTCAGCAAGAACGTACAAATTAGGCTTTTTTTGTCACGAAATTAGTGTAGCCTAATAGTACCACATAACAACCAGAAAATGTGGTAAAGTTTCAAAACGAACTTTTGCAGCGCTACGCTACTACTCATGCTCATGTCTTTACGGTTGCCCAATTCATTTTCTTGACGCCTACACACGTGCAATTAGGACTGAGACACTTGCAAAACTGCAAATTGTTGAATATAAATATAGAGCCTAATGCACGCACAATCAAATTTTTCTTTAGATGCCACCTATGGTTAACATTAGCTAGATTGCAACAAGACTATTTAGATATGACTGTAAATAAAAAGAGTGCAACTTTACTATTAGGAAAGATCACAATAGAAAAACACTCTATAGCAATTTACAACAGCATTGTCAGAGAATTTGGATAAAAATAAGAATTGCAAAAGCACAAATTGTTTTTGATCTGTTGTAAACTTCAAAGATATTCCTCAAGATTCAATAGGTTGTGATCTACTAAATATAATCTATAAAATTTGAAAGAAATTTGATCTATAAATAAATCGTTATCTTCTAAACTATTGTCTCATAAGCTAAAAAAATCATTAATAAAAAAATCATTCTTCTAACAAATACAACTTTTAACTTCAAAAGCAGTGTAATCAAGTAAATACTTTTCTTGTATGCCAAAAAACTATTCTTGAAAAAAAAATCCACACTTAAATATATACTAAATAAACATCTTTACATAATCTTAATTTAGCCAAAATCATAATTTGTAATATTAGATGATAAATTAAAAATATTTAACCCTTATGATAAAAATTAAATATTAAAACAAAAATATTTTAAAAGTGTACAAAGATGTACCTATAGCCTTTATCTAGAAGATGCATACACCTTATAATTTCTAAAAATAGAATATATGTTCTTATAGATAAAATAATACGTGGGTATAACTAAATAATTATTAATAGATATTTTGAAGTAATTTAAATCATTTGGTGTATCTAAGCATTCAATTATCCAATCTCTCTCTACATATATACATACACATACATACATACATATATATATATATAATACTGATAAATTCTAATGCTATTGAAAATTTACTTTTAATTTTACAAGCTTACAATTCCAACACAAATTTAATTTATTTTGATTTAAAATAAACTTTTATGTTTATATAATGACATAGAAATCAAGAAATTTAGACATTTTATTTTATATAATAATTTATTTTTATTTTGTATTTATATTTTATCTGTCATTAATATTAAAATTTATATTATTATATTATTATTTATTTTTTGAATTAATTTAAGAATTATGAATTTTCTTAATAATTTGAAATTATAATAATATTTTTAAAATTATATAATATTATTTAAGAATTACAGTCATAAATTAATCATGATGTATACAATAATTAAAAGTATATCCAAGTTTTTTCTTGCCTGTTGGAATAAATCTTAAAAATTATAAAACATAAATGCACAACTTGACTCTATTATAACATAAAGAATATGAAAATATAATACAACATTATAGACTACTATTTACATTAAATATCTAGACAATGCAATACTATACATATAACAATTATTTATATTAATTTACTGTAATTCAAAGAATGTTGCATTGCATATACCATAATCTGTTACAATAACTTATTGTTCATATAAAATGTTGTACTTTGTATTTAAAAATTATTTACAAAAACATATCAATTGATATACTTTACATAAAAATATTCTATTTTTTTTATAAAACCCTAATATTTGAGCCAAATTTAAAATTTCAATATACTATTTTAATAGAAATAATTTCATAGAAACTCTATGATCTACAAAAATCTACTATAATAGAATAAATTTTGATTAATTGTTTTTTTTAAAAAAAATAATATAAAAAATACTTAGAATTAAGAATAAAAATAATAAAATAGTGAATTAATATAAATAATTTGATTAGATTAAAAAATCTCAATATAAAATATTGTACAAAGAATATCCATACTATACTAAATAATTTAAAGATAGAATATTTTAAGTATAAAATTATTCAAAAGCTATAATAAAAATTATCAATGATCTAAAAAAATAGCTTTAATATATAATATTAACTAAGAGTTTATTATACACAATGTATTGACTATAATGATGGTACTTTATACACATAGAATCCTAATTTTTTTATGACAGCAATTAATAGTAATCCATGTAGAAAATTTTATGTAGCACACAAAACTTTTCTAATAAATATCAAAACTTCTATTTCCATTAGCTTCAAATAACTTAAATACTAGAATAAAATCCTAGAAAATTTATTATTATTTAATAAAAATAAGTTATGAGATATATTCAATGTTGTATTAGGTTCAAACTTTTTTTCTTATACATCTTTACAATTCCTTGAAATGTTACGCTTGGCACATCAATAAGTACCAAGAGCTCTTAATATATACCAATCAACTAATAACAACGATTTTTTTAGTACACATAGTATTAGATGCATAAGTAGGGTTGATTTAGTAAAGAAAATAATTTTTCTTGATCAACTTCCAATACATTTGTTGTCTACTAATCATAACAATTTTATATAAAAAATATGATTTCTAGCAATTTTAATGAATAAAAATATCTATAATAATAGATTATTAATCTAAGTTTATGCACACATTGATATAACTTCATCTATAATAACTATTAAAATACACATGGCACAATAGCAATAGATGTACAAAAATCAAAGAATTTTTGATGATATTACATACGTGACATTATTACTAGATGCATAAAAAATAACAACTTGCTAATGAAATCACATATTCTATATTTTTAGTAGATGTCTAAAATTAATATGGTATTAATCATATACCACTAATTCAATTAATACAATTTTTTAAAAATTATGTAACACTTAATACATGATCATTCAAAAACATAAAATATAAATGCTTGATTTATCTCAATTACCAATACTATACTACACATACTATATTATTTCTACTAATAAAGTTATATCACATTAAAGAAGAAATAATACAAGTCACTTTTAAATTTTAAAAAATGAACAAAAAATCATTAGAATTGGATGATTTTTTGTTCATTTTTTAATAATATAATGATTTTTTGTTAATTTTTTTACACTCATAAATTATAATTTTATCAAAAATAAAATCCACCAAAATTTGCACATATAGATAGAGTTTTATCTAAATAAATTCTTACATTTTTGTAATGCAATGCTATTCTTGATTAGAATAAACATACACATTATTAAAATTGATATTGGAAATTTCTACAAAATAATATATATATATATATATATATAAATATTAGAGGATATTACAAAGACAATGGTATAAATATACAACGTTGACAAACAAGACATGGAAATGACAAGCCTAAAGACTACAAAAATATACAAAAGTAAACTTTGTTGCATGCAAAATCATCTATACCAAGAAGAAAAAATTGATGATATTTACTAATTATAGAAATATTTGTAGCTTCAAAACCATAGCATACAAAAGATAAATATAATAATATAAAAAAAGAAAAAATGCATCATTACAGTATAAGATTTTGTATAGATGGCCAACAAATAGAAGTGGTAATATGTTAAGTTTTAACTTCAAAAATATACATAACAAAAACTTTAATTTTAAAGTAGAAATAGAGACAAAATATAGAAAACTAAGAAAATATATAGATACATTGATATAAATAATCTCAATAAGACATTAAAAATAAATTTAATCACTAAAAGAAAAAAATTAAAATAATGCAATATGACATAGAGTAATACATTCTTTTATAGTCATCTAATATTTGTTTTATTATAAGTAGAAGAAAAAAAAGATATCAACTTTAGATGGATTGTAGAAGGATTGGTACTCATTAAATTCCCTTGTAAAAAAAATTATCATCCATAAATAGATTTAGGACAATTTTAACAAATTTTTGATATGCTTATCCTTGCCCACATCTACTTACATACAAATTTTCAAAATTGAGGACTAAGAAGAATAAAGACTTAAAAATACCTTAAAAAGAACAAAAAAAGGACTAAAGCAAAATACTAGAGAGAACAAAGAAACAAGCATTTAAAGAAGAAATTAAAATATAACTATAGCATTAGTCTACAATATACAATGACTCAAAAAACTATTTCAATGTTGACATATTTTTGAAAGAATGGTGTATTATAGATGAATTATAGTGAATAGTGACACGTGGTTTGTATAGCAAATAAAATATTCTTTGGCATCTATTAAATGAATCTAGGTTGAAAAGAATCCATTAAGTAATTGTGGAGCTTTGATCAATCTAATTTAGAATAGTATTGAAATATTTTTTTTAAGTAAGGTATCCAATTACATATCAGTACTTTGTAGGATCTCCTTTGGCCTTGATAACTACTTCCAACCTCTTAGGCATACTTTCTATAAACTTTTGGTACAAAACTACTTCAATATTATTTCATTCTGCAGCTATTCTTTTCTATAATTTCCAAACTCCCTTTGGTTTATTTTCCAAGTGTTGAATTGGCATTTGAATTGCTCTCAAAGATGTTTAATGGAATTAAGATCAAGAGACTAAGCAAGCAAATCCATTATAATCCCATGATAATCAAACCACTTCCATGCTAGTTTTGAGTTATGCTTGAGATTGTTATCTTGCTAAAAAATCATCTCCTTCTTAAAAATGCCAAATTCTTCAATGCTAGTGAATAGATTTTTTTTGCAAGAATTTCCATGAATTGCTTAGTATTCATCTTCCTCTCAATCTTTGCCATCCTTCCAATCTCATTCCATCCTATACAAACCCATACCATTCTATTTCCACTCCCATGCTTAACTTTTTCTTAGATCTTCTTATCAAGTAAGGATTGACCTTTTTGTTTCCACGCCCACTTTTTGCTATTTGACTCAAATCTGTTGATTTTTGTCTCATTTGATCAAATAATCCTCTTCCAATCCTCCATAGTCCATTTCCTATACTTTAGAACAAAATCTAAGCATTGTTTGCGATGGCAGGTCGATAGTAGTGGTTTTTTCTTCTTCACCACAACTTGCATATTCTATTTCTTAAGAACATTTCAAATGGTTTGGGTTGACACATGATTATTGATAATATTGTTAAGGTTTTTAGAAACCTCAATAGCATTTTCAGCCTTCTTAGTGGTGATTTGGCAAATGATTGTTCTTTCATCTACTACAATGAGTTTTTTTTTTTTTTTTTTTTTTTTTTTTCTAATTTAAGGTTTTTATTATTAAAAGTGATCTTTTTTGCTAGCTTAAAGATAGTAGCTTTACTGTGGCCAAGTTTAGAAGCAATTTGGCCAAAAGATTTTTGAGAATGAAGAAGAGCAGAGATAATGTTGTCTTGGAGAGAGTGGAGAATGGATCTCATAGTTATTCAAGGAATTGTCAAGGACACAAGAATTTGACAAAAAAATATGTCAAGATTAAAGATAAGGAATGAGATTAATAGCAAAAGTGGTTCCAAAGACTCCTATTTATATTATAATAAAAATTATAGAAATCTATGGTACTTTCTGTAGAATTTTCTAGAAGTCTAAAGAAGCTTTTAGAAGTCCAAAGAAGCTTTTAGAAGTCCAAAGAAGCTTTTAGAAGTCTAAAGAGGCTTCTAAAAGCCGATGGAACTTTCTAAAAGATTGTGAAAGATTCTATAAGTATCTAAAAGGTTTTAAAAATTTCCAAAAGATTCTAAAAGGTCTTAGAATGTAATAATTTGGAATATGTTTGTGCTAGGAATTGTAATTAAGAATGGTGCTTTTATAGCTAGTAGTAAGCATTAATGATGTCATTAGATTAGTAATAATATTATCATAGTAAATTTGATGATGATAGAATGCTATATTGTTGAGTAATTAATAGAATCCAAAAATTAGACACTACATTCAAAAAATTGTTTCAGTACTACTCTAAATTAAATTGGTCATAGCTCCGCAATTACCTAATGGATTCTTTTCAACCTAAGCTCATTTGGTAGATGTAAAGAAATAATTTATTTGTTATACAAATCACGTTTCATTATTTACTACAATTCATTTGTAATACATCATTCTTTCTAAAATATATCAACATTAAAATAATTTTTTGAATCACTACAGTTAGCCAAAAATAAATTCGAGACTAGCCTACAATTACCAAAATCCTTAGCTTTTTACATAAACCTTCTTAACAACTAACTTTAGATGGTAATCTTATATTATTTATATTAGTTTGGATTTTGTCTATCCCATCATTCAACCACTATAAATTGGACAAAATCCAAATTGATATTGCAAATAGATGAAAGTTATATACAAGCATGAAGCAAGGTACCAATTGAACAATTATCTCTTAAGATTGCTTTAGATGAAAATAATACTCTTTAAATCTATGATAAGTATTCTCTTAAAATTATAACTCATCTCCTTCCTATCTTACTAACAAGTCACATATATTACTCATTTACTATTGACTTTTCGGCTTTGTTTGAATTTTTCTCAAAAGCATCCTCCTTGAATGTGTGCTTTGAGATTGCAAAAAAAAGAAAAAAAAAAAAAGAAAAAAAAGAAGAAATGACAACCAATTAGACATATTTTACCTTTTCCACATACTTTCTAACATTTTAAGCTACAATAGTCGTTCTATATACCAGCTTGAACACAGTGAAAGACACAAACTTATTACCAAATCTAGAAAATTGATATCGTCTGGCGGAATGTATCTCAACTTAAAATACTGCGACTCCAGGAGGACATTCGACTGACGTACTAAAAAAAATCGCCACTACGTAACATCCTCCGGCAGCAAGGTTCTGTCCCAAGTATTCCATCTAATTTGAAACCAATTTATTTAATAAAGATACCAATAATGATACCATCGAATCATCCACTAAACGAGCGAGCCGATGGAAAAGCGTAGGTGAAGGCTAGCGTGCCGACATTGTATTTGAGCTAGTTCATGAAAGAAGCTTGAATTGGAGAGGAGTTACCGCCATTGACAGAACGAGAGAATAACTGCTCTCATGGATCTTAGAATCATGACAGCCACACACTTCACTTGCCGTCACTAGGAGAGGCCTCACAGGTACTCGTTGACTAATTACCCCAACACATCCGCCATATTCAATATTTAGACAGTAATTCGGAGTCTCTATGTTCAAATCGTTTCCAGATGCGTCAGAGTTTGTGGAACAATTACATAGCAATTACGCAACTTATAGACAGTACTTGAGGTTTTAAGAAGATCAATACACTTATTCAACCACTCTTGAGTGGACGGTTAGAACGATCAAACTTCTCTTCCATCATAACAGTGTATTCCCAAACAAACGATCATGTGTTCTTGTTAAAACTTAAGGCTGTTCTCGGGAATGGAACAAATGGTGTTATGATGTCGTTTTGTACATGGCAAGAATCAGGCATAGAAACAGAAACAACGAAAATCACACCCAACCTCGAGACGATCCTAGTGTAGAAAGGCAACCCAATGTCAGCTGCAGCGAGAGTCTGAACACAACGTCATCGCTAATCAACAAACAGAAATTGAATGCGCAACTATTGCACTCATACAATAGCATTAGCAGCACTGGCAATCCTAGGCCACAAGTCGGCACACTCTTTTCCAATGGGACCAGTGATAGCAGAACCTGCACAAGTTGCCAAAAACATTGGTTTGATCAAACTCCAGTCCCAACAACTTCACATGAGTACAAGAGTGGTTGAACAAAAAAATATGACTGTAATCTTTAAAATCAAGTAGGTAACTACTGTAAGACAGATTTCACAGAACAGACCAACTGAATGTATTTCCTAAAATCAAATAGATGTAAGTGAGATTACCTTTCATTTCTCCCTTAGGATTAACAATAACACCTGCATTATCTGCAAATAAAGAAAACTTAAATCAGTATTTAAGATTGAATTGAATTAAGAAAACAAATCTCCATCACACTAATTTATGGGCTTCAGCCTCAAAGATAAAACAACCGACGAGACGAATGAATAAGATACTCGTGCTACGTATCGCATGCAATACCGTATCCAACGGCGAAGAAATTACATTGCAAAGGCAAGACAGGCAGGCAGAGAAGACATCAGAATAAATTCGTTAGGACCAAAAATCTGCTTGCGAAGAGGATGTTCTTACCTTCGAAGTACATGAAGACACCATCTTTACGCCTCCAGGGCTTGCGCTGGCGCACAATTACAGCAGGCATGACCTTCTTCCGCAAGTCCGGTTTTCCCTTCTTGACAGTGGCCATAACCATGTCGCCCACGGCAGCAGCTGGCAACCTATTAAGGCGCCCTTTCACCCCCTTGACGGAGATGACATACAGATTCTTAGCTCCAGTGTTATCCGCACAGTTCACCACAGCGCCCACAGGCAGACCGAGTGACATGCGAAACTTGTTCCCGGAGGAACCTCCTCTACCTGAAACGACAAAGTATTATCATTATGACCACCCCCGCATAGACGAAAAAAAACCCAGAAAACCACACAACCATGACACATCTACGATTGCAGCATAAGTATGGCTTTAACAAGCAACGTAAGATGTAGAACCCTAACCACAAACCCTAAACCACCACTTGGGCTGCAGAGTTAGCTGAGAAACACTAGGTCTAGCGAATAAGGTCAAAGCAGTAAGTCACACACTCCGCGAAAATAGGCCTTTCTAAACACCATCACAATGAACTCGTACAACGAAACCCGACAAGAGACAGAATGCTTCATTGACTTCAGAACCAGCGTAGCCGGACGCTCATGGTCACGTAAAGATCGCAAACAGAGTGTGATTCAACAAGACAGGAGGCAAAACATACCTAAAGACAATAATCCGACGAGAGTAAGGGAAGAAAGAACTCATACCGCGCTTCGACATGGCGGACGCTCGAGCATGCGACTACACTCCGTCGTGCAAGAGAGGCCTCTTGGTGCGATCGCTGCGTCTACAAGCTCCCTGACCTAATGTCCGTTCGGAACTGGACCTCAAGCTCGGTATGTAGCCTCGGTGTCAAACCGAAATAATGGGTGCTCGTTCACACTGACACCATCAACAAACGATTCGACTCTGTTTTCAATCGCACTTCTCTGCTGAATATAAATATTTTATTATACTGCAAAGTATGATTAAATTAATTCGTTTCTTAATTTATTTTTTATTTTTAAAATAATGCATTCTAGATAAAGAGGGATACCAATTTTGAATTTGTGTCATACAGTTCAGATTTTGCTTATGAAATTCTATTGACACAAACAACTTTGCAATAACAAATTGATCTTCAATATTCATTGTGTATGATTTATTCATATAAACATAAATTCTTAGTTTATTTTCTCAAACTTGTAGTAGACATGAACATAAAAATAAGTTTTTTTTTTTTTTTTTTTTTTTTTTTTTGTAGTACAATGCATTTAGTGTAATAAATTTGTATTATCATCAAATATCTATGTTTTCTATCAGAATAATTTCAAAAAATTAATTCATATTATATATATATATATAGATAGATAGATAGATAGATAGATAGATAGATAGATGTGAAAATTCAATTTTTCTCTCCCCTTTTTTAGTTGAGATTCTTTTATACATTTGAGTTTTTTTAGTTGTGGTGAATTCCAAAAAACAATATCAAAGTTTGTCATTTTAGGATAGTGAGCAATGTAAAATGAATACTTTTGCCATTGGTTTACTCAGTATTTATTTATTCAAACAAATTGATACTAGTGAAAGTTTCTTTATAATTTAAATTGAACTATTTTTTTGTGTAGTATGTTATCTATTAGTATTAGCTATTTTAAAAGTATAAAACATACAAGATTTAAAAACTTGTTATAAATATAATTATGTATGCATATATATATATATATATATATAAAGCTAATCATCAAAATCATATGAAAAGAATTAGTAAATAGATATATATATGTCATCAAAATTAAGTAAATGTATGTTCTTGAATATTGAAGTTGTAGAGACATTAATAGTAATACATCTTATTATTACAAGTCAAATACAAAAGAAATTTTAAAAAATAAAAATATATACAACTAAAAACGATTAAAAAATAAAAAATTATCAAATTAAGAATAATCTCAAATATTATAAGTGGGATATTATGATATTTTTTAAAGTAAATTATCAATATATTGTAAGTGTGAATATATATATATATATATATATATATATATATATATATATATGTATGTAATAATGCTACTATTAAGAATTAACTATCCAATGTATACATGTATATATATATTTTTTAAATCATATATTTTAGTTTTTTTTAATTAAAAGTATATTTTTTAATAGAATATATTTTAGACATCAAAATTGAGAACTTAAATTTGATTGGCCACCCTTGATTTTATTAATTATAAGTATGCAACAATTATAAGAATACAACAAAATTAACCATTGCTATTGTATATATATATATATATATATATATATATTTGATTTAAGAATAATATAATAAACTATTATATAAGTATAGCAATAATGATAGCTTATTTCTTTTGTAAGATGTGGTATGAAGCAAAGATAGAACATTCACTAAAGATTCGTCCTCAAAAGTATTTTTGTATTTTTCAAAAGATATAATTAATTATTTGTCATAGACATATATTTACTATAGTTATTATTTAGGTGATATGAATAGGTAGAAGTAGATAAAAGTAGATTAATTTTATAATATCTTTTAGAGAAGCTTCCTAGAAGCTTTATAGACACTGCTTGACTTTACATGTATTTATACTTGATTGGCAAGTTAAAAACTTGCTCAAGAAGTTAACCACATGCTACACATGTTGGTAGCTTGCAGGACAAGTTTTCTATGTGGCGCCCACATAGAAAACTTGCCTTGCAAGTTAAGATATGTATTGTGCAAAATCAACACGTTTTTTAGAGGTCTTATAGAATATTGCCACATAGCTCCTAGGTAGATAGTATATATAGAGGCAAGATTGAAGCCTTCTTCACTCTTGTCAACTCCTTTCTTGCTTCTAGTCTAGTTTCAAGGGTCTTTAGTTTTCTTGCCTTTTGGCAATAGCCATTTGAGATTCTTTTTTAATATGCATATTTAGTTATATCTATTTTTTCATCTTTCTTTGAGAATAGTCTCACTTGTTTATTTATTTTTATCAAGTTCTTATCATTGACAAATTAACAAGAATACACTTTCAATATCAAAGCTTTCTCTAATCTTGATTAAGAGTGGACTACCTCTTTCTCTTCATAAGACATAAGCGTATTAGAAGTTGCAGATTCCCTCTTCTAAATTGATATTGTTCTAAGTATTTTCTTTGTTCTTAAGTCCTCTCTTCTATTTGTCTTGAGTGATATTAGACATCTTCTCTTTTCTAAATATTATCATGGTAGAACTTACTGAAATAAAGAATGCAATGGCACAAATGCAAGAGCAATTGAGAGAATTAATGCTTGCAATGCATCAGCTGAATTTACTACCACAAGGAGCAACAAGATTGGTAGGAAGTGAAGATATAGAAATGATTAGAACTGCCTCAACATCTGCACCAAATCATGTCTCTTGATCTATGGTAGAACATCCTTCTAGTGTTAGAGAACCAAGAATTACCGTACCCAAGAAGTTTGATGGCACCAGATCAAAGTTTAGAATATTTATCAATCAAATACAACTTGTGATTGAACTTCAAACCCAAAGCTATCCAACTCCAAGATCACAAGTTAGATTCATTTCTACGCTTCTTTCAGATTCAACATTATCATGGTTTTCATCTTTTCTTAAACAACAAGATCCAATATTGGATAATCTAGAGACTTTTTTGGCAAAGTTTCGATCCATGTATACAGAACATGATGCAATTTGTATTACAACCAACAAGATCCGTATTTTGCGTCAAGACAATCGATCAGTACCATTGTATACTTCTTGATTTTGATAACTTGCAATTAATATCAAGTGGGATGATGTTGCTCTTGTTAGCCAATTTTTCTACGGATTACAATATGAGGTAAAAAAATTAATGTTCAACTTACTTGATCGTCAAACCTTGAGTCAAGCAATTGACTTTGCTATGAAGTGTGACAATCATCTTTTTGAGTTTCAATCTGAGAATTGTACAAGTGGACCTTAACATTACTATAATTCAATGTCAACATTAATACCTCTTCAACACATATATTCAGAAGTAGAGGATATGCAAGTTGATGTGATACGCTTTAAACCTCTTACTGAGCAAGAAAAAACTTGTAGTTGTGAGGAAGGATTGTGCTTATATTATAGAGAACTTAAGTACACTACTCAACATTGCCCAAAGAAGCAACGCAACCACAAAACGAGGAGTACGGCTATCAAAAAAGATAGTATATCAAAAAATGAGTTTGTCTACCTACAATAGAGACCGTGCAGCTAGAACCTTGTACAACACCTAGTGAAGGTCTTATTCTCTCCTCAAAACCTCTCTTTATTTTACGATAAATGTTATTTTAGGACCTAAACATCACAAAGCCTCTGCCTTATTAGATTCAAGAGCCTCAGCATGTTTCTTAGATGAAGAATTTGCTAAAAGACATATCATACTTTTAGTGAAGAAAACTAAACCTATTCATGTAGAAGTCATAGATGGTCATCCATTGTTCTTCAAGACATGTTACTCATGAAATACTTCCTATAGTTACTAAGAGCGTAGTTAATCAATTAGAAAGTCATAAGTATACTACAATTAAACTTGTATTTGTAGGTGCAAGAGCTTTCTTGCATGCTGCAAAAGAAGGATCACCTTGTATCATTTATGCCGCACCTATTTTTATTAGTAGAAAGACTTCAAGTAGCATTCCAGCCAATATCAAGATTTTCAAGATGTATTTGAGAAGAAGAATGCCTTCCAATGATTGCTTAATTGACCTTCAAGAAGGAGTACAACTGCCATTTGGACCAATTTATAATTTATCACAAAATAAGTTGGCTAAACTCAAGGAGTATATTGAAGAAAATCTGGCCAAGAACTTCATACGCCATTCCAAATCTCCAACAGGAGCTTCAATTTTATTTATAAAGAAAAAAAATGAATCATTACGGATGTGTGTCGATTATCGAGGACTCAAAAAAATCACCATCTGGAACAAGTACTCGCTACCTTTAATATCTGGACTCCTTGATCAATTGAATTAAGCTAAGATCTATATAAAAATAGATCTAAAAAGAGCATACAATCTGGTATGCATCAAAGAAGGAGATGAATGAAAGACTACGTTTCAAAAAAGGTATGGACATTTTAAATACAATGACATGCCTTTTAGACTTACAAATACATCAGCAGCATTCCAACATCTAATGAATGATGTCTTTTGGAAGTTTTTAGATGATTTTGTTGTTTGTTACCTAGTTGACATCTTAATCTATTCTAAGAACACAAAAGAACATGAACTTCATGTTTGTCATGTGTTACAAAAACTAAGAGATGTGAGATTATATGCTAAGATATAAAAGTGTATATTTTATACTATTCAAGTCAACTTCTTAGAATACATTATTTCAAATGATGGACTTATGATGGATCCTAAAAAAGTTCAAGCTATTATGGATTGGAAGATTCCAAAAATGGTAGGAGATGTCTAATACTTTTTGGGATTTGCTAACTACTATCAAATCTTCATCAAAGACTTTTTTCAAGTTGCAGTTCTACTTACACGTTTGACTTATAAAGACAAACTTCAATGGAATCAAGAAGCGGAAGTATCATTTGAAGCTTTGAAGACAGCCTTTATCTTTGCACCAATCTTGTATTGCGTTGATTTTTCTAAGCCATTTTTTATGGAAACAAACGCATCAAACTTTGCTTTGCATGTAGTATTGTCACAGATGAGAACAGATGATAAACTTCACCCAATAGCTTTTCATTCCAAAAAAAATTCAACAGCCAAAATCTACTATGAGATTCACGATAAAGAACTTCTTGCAATCGTGGATTTGTTTCAAGAATAGTGCCATTATTTAGAAGGTGCACCTAGTCCAGTCACCCAATATAAGGATCATA